CATACTCTTCGGTCAGTAAATGGTCCCTGAGCACGCATTCTGGCTTGGTGCTCTGTGCCCCTGGCTTTGTCCTCTTCATCTCATTTAATCCTCATTAACCCCTTAGTGTTAGGTACTAGCAGGGCCTCTGCTTTATAGATAAGGAATTGTGGCTCCAGAGGAGTAACTTGCCCAAAGTCACACAGCTAGCAAGTGACCAAAGGGAGTTTATATTGAGGTCTACCCTTCTACAAATCCCAGCCTCTTTTAATCTATCCTGACAAATAAAGCCAAACCCAAGTCCTTAATTGTTTCCCGACTAACAAGAGTTTGGACTCTGACTCCATTTAGGAGAATTTTTAAAGATAATTTTACCAAATGTACTTTAGCTTAAGTACATGTACTTAGCTCAAAAAGACTAATAGTACCCAAGGTTTGTAATAAAACCATCAGTCCCCTCCCCGCCCCCCGCCCCCTCCCCCTGACTCAGATCTGGTTCCCAAGAAGCCTCTACTCTCAACGTTTCCAGCTCATTCTTTGCCTCAGTATTTCAAATAACATTAGTCCTGCTTTCTCATGATTTTTCCATTTTGGATCATTATTATTGACTTCCTATTATGGAAAATGAAGGTTCTTTTACACCCTCTTGTTCTTGTGGAGACACACACACACACACACACACACACACACACACACACACAGAGTCCCTTCCACCAAGCAGCCCACTGATTCCATTTTACTGGCGTCAGAGCATCTGGGCTCACCGGAGTGAGCCTAGACTTTCTGCAGGATTGGAGAAGGGAGTCCTGACCTTTGGTAAAACACAGCGGATTTAATGCAAACATCTACTTGACATGCCCTCCCAGAACTCCAATGAAAACCACCTCCTATACAGACGGTCTAAAGAGCCTAGGGCTGGCTAGCCCAGAGCAGAGAGGGTTCCGGTGCAGACCCTCCCTCACAGATTCTCTGAGCAGCAGAGAGAACAAACGTGCTGGGCAGCCTCCGAGGGGCATCCAGAGCAATAAGGGAAGCTCCAGGGAGAGGGAGTTGAGCTTCATACAAAGCCATGCAAGAACAGGACAAGACAACATGGCCTGGAAAAGGAGCAGCAGCCCCCACTGGCAGTGGACAAGCCAGGGTCAGCTGACCACGTGCTGGGGACAAGAAGGGACTCCTGCGTGAAGCAGGAGTTAAATACATGACTTCTCAAGTCCCTTAACATTCTCTAACCCGATCATTTGCTTCCTTTTATAACAGTTGGCAATTAGAATCCGGTAGTGCTTTGCAATCACTCTTGAGTTAATAACTGGAGCTGCCCCGTAAACACACCCATCTGGCAAATTCTTTTTAGGATGCTGAAATAACCAGCTCAACATTCTGATGAGCAATCAGTTCCACTGACCCTTGCCTTGTAAAAGAAGGTTCAAGATTTGCAGAGGAACCATGACATGGCAGATGGGACAGCGCTGTCAGTCCCAAGGGGTGGGAACCCTGTGAGGACGGGTCAGTGTTGGATGGAGCAACTGTAGCCAGTTTGGCCACGGATCGTGAGCCTCCCTGGCTTCCCAGAAGGAATCTTGAAAGGGACACTGAAGAAACATCCCCCAAATCCTGCCTTCCCCCTCCTGCCTCCTTTGAAAGAGGGCAGAGCATGGGCATGGGCAACAGGGAATTGCATCCGAAACAACTGCGCCTCAAGGAGCAGATTGGGACCCCCGAGGGCTGCCCCATGCTGCTCCCAGACTGGGCACTTTTGAAAGAAATGGCTCGCCCAGAGCTGTGCATCCGCTGGGACCTCCAGGGCTCTCCAAGCAGGGCAGGCTTACTAATTCTCATGCTGTAACTGGCAGCGTGGCGTAACTAGGCTAAGAGTGAGGGCAGAGCCCAGGGTCAGGGTGTGTGAGCTGTGGGACTTGGGCTAGTCACCTCCCCTCCCTTCTTCGAGGCAGGAGAACAGAGCAGTAACCAGTGAGCTCTAGAGTAAGATTGTCTGAGTTCAAATCCCAGCAATGCCCCTGATTAGCCGTGCCCTACCCTCTCTGAGCTTCAGTGTCTTCGCCTTTGAGAATTAAACTACTGGACTTGAGAATTAAATTATCTTATTTACATGAAGTGCTTAGAGCAGTGCCTAATTTATAGAATGATTCGGATTAGGATTATCAGCAACTGTAAACAGGACCCAGCAATCCTCCCCCGCTTGACCTTACAGGGTTGAACACTACGCTCACAAACAAAACTCTAACGTTGGCTGTAAGTGTGAGAAATTTGGTGTGCAGTGCATCAAACTTCACAAACATTAGGCCAGTGTTTCCAGCCTAACTTGTTAAGTAGACACTGTGGCTATGATACAACAGCCACGTGGCATAGTCTTTAGAACTTTTTATTAAGATAAAAAGATATTAAGATAATTTTATTTTATAATTTAATATAATAAAGCAAAGTCAATTTTTGAAGATACAAATTTTTTATAGAGTACCAACTCAACACTTTAAGAAAAATATCACCCCCAGACCAAATTGAGAACACTAATGGCTAACTGGAACGACAGGTACGGCAGAGAACATGTCCCCAACTGGCTGTGGGACCCCCGGCCAACCTCCTCATTCACTGGCCTCAGTCCCCCATCAGCTACACTGGGCAGAGGATGGTCTCTTGTGGATTTCAGGTCTGCGCCTGTGGACCTATTGTTTGGAGAATCTTTTAGACCAATAGACTTGGCCTCAACAATAGCATTATCATGTTTCCTGAGGGGACAACACCATCTGGTGTGTGTGTGAGGGTAAGACACTAGCAACCAGCCAACCAGGAGCTTTCTTTTCTCCCTTGAATATCTTGCTACTCAAAATACGCTCCCCAGACCAGCAGCAATGGTACTGGATGGAAGTTTGGGAGAAACACAGGATCTCAGGCCCCATTCTGAACCTACTGAACCTGAATCTGCCTTTTAACAAAATGCCAGGTGATTCCACACACATTAAAGTGTGAAAAGCGCTGCTCTAATAGGAGAAAAAGAAAGCTAGTTCAGGCAGGAAATTTAAGTTTTAACATATACTGCACCCATAAATAAATCTGGAATTGAGCCAAATAAATAACACAAATCATTCCCAACTAACGTGTATGACACTTGACACAAGCTTTCAAAACGGAGCCCTCTCAAATGGCAAAGAGGCATCTGATAACAGGGATAAAGGTCCCTGACCTTCAGTTTCAAATGCACCTGCATTGTTGGTCTTGCTACTGTCGTGTTAATCACACTGATGACCAGAACTAGAGGCCAATTCACACCTTCCAGTGGGGCAGGCGGGGTCCTGCCAGGCTCAGGCTCCTCAGCCATCAGTGAAGGGAAAGCTTCCTCAAAATATTGTAAATTGCCTCCCAGTCTCTGAAAATATTTCCCTTGACACCCCAAAAATAATTTTATTAGTTTTTTTTTTCCACCTTAAAAATTACTGCCAATACAGTGCGCTGATGGCAGGCCTAAGACAGGTGACTTCCCACGCGAAGGCATTACTGCGGTGCTCAGTGAGCGCCCGCAAAAGTGCACCTGCGGCCGCCCCGCACGCATCAGGGATTCGGTCAGCCTTAACCTCCTCTCGGCCTGAACTGTCTTCCCACACCCGGGGAGGGGCGGACACCGCATCCTGGAGCTCAGACTGACTGCAGCAAGGCCGCGAGGGGGCAGGCAGGACTCTCCCCTCCATGACAGGTTGGGAGGGCATCGCACCTGCTGTTCCCATGGTGAGGGGTGGGGAGGCCATGACCCCGCCGCACATTTATGAGGGAACCGGGCTGTGCTGGAGGGGTTCCGACTGTGTTCTGTTTGCTCAGCAGCTATTTAACCCCATAAACACAAAATAACTAAATTATTTAATATTTATTTTTGAATTAACACCTATTGAACTTAGTGATGTTTCATATTTTATCAAGTGTACTTATGAAAACATGAATTTAATGAACCTACACTGTATGTCAGGGACTAAGCTAAGCCATCACCTGCTCTGTTATTTTCTCCTGATGCCTATCCCATAAGCTTGGTTTCATTATTCCCATTTTTCAGATGAAGAAGCTGAGGTTCACAGTGGTGACAATACATCAGATTGACCCAAGCAGGTCAATTGGAGTTTTTTCTGGATAATTTTTAACTGGAACCCTCCAAGAGTAGAGTCTGTATAAAAAAGAGCCTGAGAGCCCGAGACATAAGCTGAAACTTTTAATCAACTGCACACGTCTTCACCTCTCACATTCGACTGGCTGTGAAAACAAAGATCTGCAATGCTCTCGCCCATTTTTTAAACCATTCACATTGACTTTGTCACACTGACAAGATCCCAGATGTGGATGTGGGATGTTCCACAAACTAGAATCACTGAGAAACTTTCAGTGGCTGCAGCGCAAAACAATTTAAATGACTGAATATTATTAATGAACAAACGTGAAAACTGAGCCTCATAAAGAACATTATATTTTTCTCTGACAAGAATGTGTAATAAAATTAAAAATGATATAAATATGTTTTAAAGTCCTAGTGGTAACTACTCAAAGAAGCCAGTCACACAACAGCGAGGCATCGTGGAAGTCCACCCCATGCGGTGGAAGCGTGTGTTAGTCCAGTATATCGAGCCGTTCCTTCGAGATTTCAGCTTTGGTTAGTCTTCTTTGGGTAACGTAAGTTTTAACTGGAGGTTTGACAATGGCAGCAACACATAATCCAATGGCACTCTTTATTAAATAAATCTCGATTATCTCAATGACCTGAAGGAAGCAGTACATTGGTCCCACTGTCCGTCAGTCCACAGTGAGAAAAGCTAACCCAACATTTGAAGTATTAGCAATTTAATCAAAGTAAATGATCATGAGTCTAATTTCCACACATGCAAACATCTTTGTACCTGAAAATCCTTGCAATTACCAAAATAAAGCATTTACTCTTTTTGCTGGGGGAGGGGGGGGAATAAAAAGACACAACATTACAACAATACATCGTGATAGAAAAATATTTAAAGGTTTTTAATTCTCTGACAACCAAGAGTTAGTTGTGATTATCCTTTGAAAATAGAGTATTTGGGAACAATTTTAAAGTTTTCAAAATCAGAACAAAGCTTTTTTACATTCTTACCACACCCCCACATCACTTTCACAAATTGCACAGTGATTTCCTTATAAATATAGAGCAGCCAAGTTTTTGGTGGGTCCGCCACTGTCCTTAGCTGAGTCTCTGTTGGGCTAAGTCCAGGGCCCCCCATCTCCTCTGCTGGTCTCCTTGGTGCAGTGATTCCTTATGACACGCGTTCTTTAAAGAACCATTTCTGATGTTCCGAGTTGGCGCAGTCTCGTAAGAGTGGCACAAAACTGTTGCCAGCAGCCGTCTTCTCAGCCTGAACACATTTCTTGGATTGTATGTGAAATAAAGCACCATCCTACAATAGATAACATTGGATGGTCAAGAGAATTACAAGCAATTCCTCAGCAAGTCCCTCTTTCCTTAAACTGTGTTCTTAAATGCTCCGGGTGACTTTTATCAGTTTAGAAACACTGACTGAGCAGTGGCTGCATGTACAAAAGCAATCCAGGACTCCCGTTGCCTAGGGAGGATCAGGGGACTACAGGCAGACATTGCTGTGCTCCTCATGGGGTCCCAGACTCCACAGTCAGGGCCAATGGTGCCACCTGCTGGCTGCTCTGGGGATCTGTCAGACACTACGTTTCAACCCTACTGCTTTTCCTTGAGTGAAGTCAATACCAAAGAATCTCTTCCACTTGGGCCAACTAATTGCATCCCTGGGGATCTCTCTCTCGCGTGTATTGAAACGGAGAGTCAGGAAACTTGGCTTTAGTCCCAGCTCAGCTACAGACCAGCAAGTCACCCGAGAGGAAGTGGGTTCTACAGACCGTGCCAATTCCCAAACTCCTAAAGGCGATGATCCTCTTTAATGCCTCCCCTTCTCTTCTTTTCCCACACTGCTGCTGAGTTAACTCAGCAAATCTCTCCCCCCTCCACCCCCCGCATCCTGGAGTTTCTCTTTGCGCCTCCCCCTCCTCTCTCTGTTGTAAGGTGTACACACACCCACAAGGAACTTAATCATGACCTAGCAACAAATGGGAAGAACAGTGACCTCCCTATTCCAGGGCAAGAGAAACCTTAGAAATTAAATAAGTTGCAAAATAATTTCAAAAACGTTAACCCTGAAAACCCTTAAAGGTGCTCATAAGTTGCCTTCAGAATAATGTGAAAGTAAATACAGGCCTATCTCATTTTTTTAATGCTTCACTTTATTGCACTTTGCAGATAAAATTGAAGGTAAGACCCTCCACTAGCAAAAATATTATGACTTACTGAAGGCTCAGATGACAGTTAGCATCTTTCTGCAAAGAGGTATTTTTTAACTATAGTATGTACATTGTTTTTTAGACATAATGCTACTACACACTTAATAGACTGCAGTATAAGGTAAATAATCACTTTTATATGCACTGGGCAACCAACAAATTAATGTGACTCTTTATTGCAAAACTTCCTTTATCGCAGTGGTCTGAAACAGGACCTACAACATCTCCGAGATGTGCCTGTAATTAAATAAAGCGCCCCTCCTCCCACCCTTCTGAAGGGACCTCCTTTTCCTTAAATGGTCACTGAAATTTAAGATAAAATTTTAATGACATTTCAAATCAATTTTATAGCCTTTATCTTGCATTGCTATTCTTTGAGGGCTTACAATGGCTTCCAGTTAAAAGAAAGAAGGGAGAGGTCATACGGAGGGTCAGAGACTTCTGGGGTTCACAGAAATATTTCCCCTCATTTTTTACATCAAATAGGCAACACTATGGTGCCTGGCTTTTCCAAGGAGCCTGCAAATTACATTGCTAATCGTAACATCTTCTACAGGAAAACATACTCCAACTTCTAGTCATACTCGGGATTCACCTACTTATAAGCAGTCTAGATAAATCTTTCCCTCCCTGGGGCCAGCTTCCCAGGGAGAGAAAGCTCCCATAGAGATAAAAGAGAACTAACTTTTTTCTTTTGAGTTATTTTCTTTGGTTCTGTTCCTTCAAGTGCTTTTTTGTGAGTCAAAGGATATGACTGATTTATGAGTCACATCAGGGGCTCACCTCAAACATGGGGGAGCTAGCGCCCTTCATGCCTGAAATAACACCCAGGTCCTACACAGCGACCATTCTGACGCCAGCTCCCTCTGAGAGAGCTTTTCTTGGTTATTCCACTGCAAGTAACAACTAATTCCAATAGACCTTCCCAGTTCCCAAAGAACATATATATTCCTGGCCATATGTCTAATCCTCGCTAGAGTTAAGATGAGGCTGCTCTGCCGGCCCCTAGTTTTAGAACCAGGGAAAAAGGAGCCTGAGAGAAGTGGAGTGACTTCCACCTGGATCTAACCTGCCATCCTTACACGCTGGCAATTGGCTGCACTTGTTTAAACCTGATTTCATCTCAGAACGCGCCTGCGACAGGTCTTCTTCCCATTTCAGCGGCTCCCAGTAGAAAAAGGTAGATGGAAAAACCAAGAGGAGTAACAGCGAAGGGAGAAGGAAAGCGCGGCCGACAGTGGACACTGGGACTCCAACGGTGCGGCCACGGCCTGGCCGGGGGTCGCTGCGACATTGCCCGTCTCCCCTACGTGGGGGCAGCCCTGGGACTCGCCAGGACTGCGCCAGAGAGCGGGCTCTGCCTCCACACTCCCCTCTGCGCCCACAGGCGGCAGCAAGGATGGATGAGACAGGTCACTCACCGCCTGCAGGATGAACTTCTGGTTCTCCGGCGCCCTTTCCTCACAGAGAAGCATGATGAGAGTATCGGCTCCTGCCTCCACCGCTACACAGGCCTCTGGCTGGAGGGTGTTATAGCGAATTTCATTCTGAGACGTGTACTCGAAAAACTGAAAATGGAGAAGCCGACGGGCGTTAGTTACCCTCTGACAGGGGAAAGCTGGGAATTGCTGGATGAGAGCCAGGGGTCATGAGATCGGGGGAGTCAGGGTCCCTCACTCTCCCCTCACCCACGGACACGGGCCTGTCTGATCAGCCAGCCTCCTGCGTGTCCCTGCCGCTCTCAGCGCACCCTGGTCTGGTGCTTAGCACGTGTGAATGAAGGGGCCCTTTCTAGGGTCTGCCTTGCAGTGCCTGGGCTCCCGCTGCGCCTAACCCCATCCCATGCTGGTGCGGACCAGCAGAAAGGAAAATGCACCGGTGCCCGGGGCCAGCACTTGGGGGCTCTGCGGCCTTCACCAGCCATTTCCTCTCCTTTTCCTCAGTCCTTTCGTCCTCCTCCCTCCGAAGTACAATGAGTGTGACCGTGCCCTGGAAACTGTCAGTGCTGTGCGCAAGCAGACAATAGGCCTGCTCATGGGAGGGCTTGGTTCTTCCAGGGCCTTCCTCCGCTAATGTGGCCAGGAAAATACTGATCCTGGCCCCACCCAGAGGGGAAAGGCAGATTCCTTCCATCTGAGATGGGAGCTAGGAAGCTGCGTTTTCACATTTTTAACAAGACACTTAGCCACCCACCTACCCTGCTCCACTCCCTCCCTTCCAGGAGGTTCTGACACAGGTGGCTATTCATAAGTCACATGGAGTAGTGCTTCTGAAAGGAATCTCCCAGAAAGCTGGCTCAAACAAGAGTCTGGCGTTATAGAGGGACAGGATGGGTCTGAGAATTTGCGTTTCCAGGCTCCCAGGTGATGCTGCTGCTGCTACCGCTGGGGGGACCACCTTTGAGGAGCACTGTTCTAAAAGGTACTGGAGGGCCTGAGTACCTTAAGCTTGCAGGGGCCTGAATTATGGAAGTTCACTGTTGACCATAAGGGGCCTTCATATTCAAATGGAATTGCAGGAAATTGTCCCAGGTTGGAAGGAAACTTGAATCCCCACCTCTTCATCTCTAGTGTCTGACACCTCCTAAGACAGTGAGGCTTTGAAGGTCCAGAACCAACACTTCCCTCCTCTCCTGCCTCCTCCATTGGCCTCGCCCTGGTGGATGCACCTGCTTTCCTGGGCCAGGGTCCTGTTCTGGTCCTCAGACCCCCCAGGACTTGCTCCCCTGCCCAGCCTGAAGGACGGCACTTAACAAAGCCGCCTGGGCCCCAGCCGAAGCAACCGCCCTGACCTCTGCTTTGCAGTGTGGCATTTTCCTTCAAAACCTGTCATTCTGTTAAGAATCAATTCTAAGGAAGTCATCTAAAATTCAGATCGTTTTTTTTTTCCTTACTTTTATTTTTCTAACCAAAGGTGTTAGAGGCAGAGTTATTTACAATTGCAAAAGCAGGGAGGCAGGGAATCAGTTGCTGAACAGTAACGTGGCCACACAAAGGTGTATCAAGTGGCCGTTAGAAGTGATATTCTCAAAGGATGTTTAATAACACAAGGAAAGTGTGATGAAGTAAATGGAACGAGGGAATAGAAAGCAGATAGACATAGGATAACAACTATTTAAAACACATAACCAAAGGCTGTGCATGGAAAAAAAAAGATGGAAAGTAAATATGTCTTAATTATAATGGTGGTTGCTCTGGGTCCTATCATTTGCTATTTGCTTCTACATTTTATATTTCCCAAATGTTCTGTAATGAGCATGTGTTACTTTTTAATGAAAAAAAAATAGCAAACATTTCATTTTTAAAAAACACATGGATTTCCCCTCATTTTCCTCTTTAGAGGCCCACACCGATGACCCCCGGCACACAAAGCTCCGCACTGTCTCCCCCGTGCCCAAGCCTGTCAAGCTACAGAAACAAGCACATACCTGATTCTGACCCATCCCGTGACACTGGTACAGGAGGACCTGGCGCCCTGTGAGTTCGTGTTCGTTGGGAGGGTTATAGTCAAAGCAGTGACCTTTTAGTCCTTTGTTCTGGAGCTAAACAAAACATAAGGTGGCATTTTGGTCCAGATTTATACACAACAACAGATTCCACCCAGGGCTCCGAGGGAGGGCAACAGTGAGAGACGTGCCTGCCTCAGGAACTGCACTCAACGGCAAGAGCCCCTGACATTTCTAGTTGTAAAAGTGCCTTCCCATTCTGCACCGGAGGCGGGAATCACAACCCCCTCTCTACGATGGTAAACCAGAGGATCACTGAGGTTAGCTTGTTAGGGCCTGAAAGCCCATACCTCTTCGTTGCTCATCAGTGCACTGGTCCAAACTGGGCTGTCGCCTCACAGGTACCCAAGGAGCTCCGGCTCCAATATTAGGCATCAGCAAAGGACACCCCAGCCTAGAGACTCAGCATTCCCCAGATCACAGGCCCATGACTCTAGACTAGGGTAGCAACAGCATAATACAGAGAGCCAATGAATTGCCCAAGGTACCTCAACAGGTAAGCGAAAATACCTGAGTCTTGAATCCAGGGCCTCTGACTCCAAGTCCAGTGCTCTCTCTGTCACTCAACACTGTCTAATCTAATGTCACCACTGAGGTATTTCTTGGATCTAAAACCCTTTAATCGCTTCAAGGGCAAAAAACCACAGGTTTTATGCTCCTTCTTCCCTGCCAAAGTCTCCAGGGAAAAACTCAAGTACTTTCTAAATTCCTTCCTGAAGAGTTCAAAGTACCCTCAATAGCCCTGAACCCAACTGCTGCCCTGCCCTGTCCGTCCTTGACTAGCCTGGTTCTGATGACAAGGCTCAGCCACATAGAAAGAAGGATTCCACAATCCACTAGCTCATTAAGCACCGCCTTCCACGTCCCTGAGATCCCTTTGCTTTGTGAAGGAACCTGGGAACAGGCCACATCCTGGTGACGCTCCATGAACCCACTGACCCATCTTCTCACTAAAAGCAGGAGGACCAGACATCACATGCTCCTTTATGACGCAAGGTAAAAACAAAACAAACCTGTGAAGTGTCCTCGCCAAAACAGCTACATCAACTCTAATCGAACCTTTAGACCTCACTTCCGTTGTAAAGAACATGGGAGGAGAGAGGCACAATTTAAAAATCATCACAAAGAAACAAGCAGACAATCCCAAGGGTGAGGTACTCTACAGGGCAACAAATGCAGTGGCAAAGGGGGAAGAAAGAAAGACAAGGGCTGCCTTAGATTAGAGAGACGTTGGGGGAGGAGGGGCAGTGCCCGCATACAATGTGTAGACCTTGTCCGGATCCCAAAGAGATCTCACCAAATGCCCCGAGAGAAATTTGAAGATCAGGGGGAATCTGAATAAGGGCCAGAGAGTAAACGACACCAAGAAATTATCGTTCATTTGATTAGGGTTCATTTGATAACGGTCTGTGGTTTTGTAGGATGATATCCAAATGTTACTGAGATACATGCTGTAATACATGTCCCTGAGATACAGGAGTAAAATGACACAATGCCCGGGGTTGGCTTCAAAAGAGAAAAATGGAGGAGAGTGGAACAGAGGAGAGAGAATGCAAGAGAGGCAAAGTCTTGATAATTCTAGAATCTTGGGGACAGGGTTCATTGCACCATTCTCGCTGGGTTTCTGTATGTTTGAACATTTTCAAAACAACATTGAATTTAATGCATTAACCGCCTGCTTGGTGTTTATCAAAGACTTCCAGGAAAACACCAGCACTTCTGATCAGCACAACACAGGAGACAGCCCCTGCTAACTTGGTGCAATTCCAGACATTTATCGGTATCTGGCCTCATCCCAAAAGCATTCCTTTTAGGTTTTTTGAAATAACAGGAGTGACTCTCCTTTTCCCACTGCTGCCTTTGTGGCTCCCTGAGTTGGAAATGAACTCGTCCCTGAGTTGGAAATGAACTCGCCTTCTGAGATTTGAGGTAATATTATAAGGTGTGAGTAAAAACTAGGACATGGAAACACCAACGTCCTCATTTATACTTGCCAGTTTCAAGATGGCTTCCAGAGCTGACATTCTGGACCCGAGCCCCAAACAGTCACGGGGAGAAGGAAGAACAGTAGGAGAAAAGGAAGAAGAGTTTGGGGTTGGGGAGGCCTGTGGTCCCCACTAAGGGGTCTTTCTTGCCCAGGGTTTGTGGACCAGACCTGGGGGCCAGGAACTCCCTGCCCACCATGGGCCGCCTTACTCACCATCCCGAAGAAGCCAGGCCTGTCCTCAGGCACGTGCAGTTCCGGATACACAGTCTTCAAGAACCACTTGAAGTCCTTACATTGCAGCTTGGCACGGAGCTGCCTCCTCTCCGTCACATCCCCAAAGGGCTCCTGACAGAACAACAAAACCGTGAGCCCCTGCAGGTCATGGTACTTCCTATCAAGGCCCCTCTCTCCACCGTTGCTCCCTCATGCGATAGCTTTTATCGAGCACCTAATGTGTATCGGGCCCTGTGCAGGGCACAGAGCACAAACCGCAGCCTCAGACATAGTGGCCGCACTCGAGCAGGCGAGAGTGTCACACAATGACATTTCCAGGTGCTCTCGTTCCAGGGAGCTGCAACCAGGTGCACGAGGGAAGAACAAAAAAACACCTGCTGATGGCATGAGGGACCCGTGCTGGGCCTGCACGGGACCTGTGGGCCGGCACACCACGGACACACATGCGATCACAGGCCAGCAACATGTCAGCAGCACACATGCGCAAGGGCATTCTAATGTACCACTGATACCTGACATTCACTTTCAAACACAGGTGGGTGTTCTAGATATAATCGTGAATGAAAACCTTACGTGCTCAATGTATTGAAGTCTAAATGTATGCTTACAATGAAAAGAGCAAAATGCTGCAATAATAAAGACTAGCGGAAGTTTCGTGCTCTGAACAAAACCAATGATTAAAAACTTTCAAGTAATTAAATAAAGGAGGCATCTATTTAGCATGGCAGCCACAAGAGCGGCACTGAGTGCAGAGATTCTAGTGTCCCTGCACCATGACGTTATACTAATGAAGTTTGCTGAGTTAAATATTTAACATAATGACAATGATAAGTAAAAATGTTTGAATAGAACTTGAAATTTTTGCTTATTTCCCAGAAGTTCATTTTTTGATGAGAGCCATTGTACCCTCATCTTCAGCCACATGTCCGTTTCAAGGCCGCCGGGTATTCCGACGGACGGTGTGAGCAGTGGTCCTCTCACACGCCACTCTCTGGGAGTTATCACGAAGAGGGAACTGGGGGTTCCGGACGGGGCGACAGGGTAGAGCAGGCACTTCCGCCCTGCAGCCTCGGGCAAGACAGAGAAAGCAATGACCCTGGAGCCCACAGGCAGAGAGAGGCCAAGAAGGAGGTCGGGGGAGGGTGCCCAGGGCTCCGCAGAGCTCAGAGGAACCAGTGGGGTGTGCATGCTCCTGGCCCAGTTCTGCCTGCATCAGTTTTCCCAACCAAAAAAAAGACAATTTCAGAGTTAGCCTGAAGGACTGCTGTAAGGAATCAGAAGACATTTTCGTCAAGTGGCCAGGAAAGAGGCCTTGGGGCACACCTCGTCCTGCCAAGTGGCCCTGTTAGCAATGGGATTGCAGGGTCAGGGCGCCCCTGTCCTGGGGCATGCAGAGCTGGCCCATGCAGGGGCAGTGGACCTGTTTGTTACAATTTGTTTGTAACGCTCAAATCACCACTTGGGGTGTCCTCACGCTTTCTGTCATTTGTGAACACGTGTAGGGTGGCAAAAAATTTGAGTCACCCAATGTGCACATTCTCAGCTGAGGTCCTGCTTCGGCTCTCATACTGTAAACAAGTATCCTTTTTGTGGCCTCTTTAGTGCCACATTTTTCAAATTTTTGTGCTTTGTGTTGGGGATTTCCCTGTGTGAAATGGCTCCCTAGTGTTAGTACTAAAGTGTCGTCTGGGGTTCCTCAGAGCAAGAAGGCTGTGATGCGCCTGATGGAGAAATTGTGTGTTTGATAAGCTTCTTTGAGGCATGAGCGGCAGTACTGTTGGCCGCAAGTCCAATGTAATGAACCAACAATATATATTAAACAAGGTATCTTTAAACAGAAACACAGAATACAAGGTTAGGTATCGATCAGTTGACAAAAATGTCAACCTGCCAGAGGCTTGCAGGAACCTAACCCTATATTTCCCCTACGAGCAATGCATCGGGATTCCCAAATTCAGTGTCTGCAGTGACTATATATAACACAACTACTGCCAATAATAAGAATCAACTGTAATCTATTAAGGAATAAAATTTTCCCATACTGTATCAAGAGCACTCAACTAATTTTCTATTTCCGGAACCAGGTCTACTACAGTACAGAGGCTAGCGTGAGCTGCTCGCGTTCAGAGAAAGCCAGCCTGGGTGCGGGTGGCCCAGGAACTCACCAAGCGGGCATGGGGGTTGCGATGGTAGTACAGCTCTTTGTATTCATCCATCCACACTTCAGCTGCACGGACACTGTTGGCCAGAGCCTTTTTGCGGGAGTAGGGAGCTTGCTTGGGGAAAACGTGGCCAACGTGAGAACACGGGTGTATCTCCAGGGTCCCACCACACTGCCAGATCTGCACACAGAGCAGAGAAGAGGCCAGGTAGGTGAGCAGGGGATGAGGTGCCGGTCCACAATGCCTGCAGCCAGGAAGCCGAACGCAGGCGTCATGACGAACCCTGCCAAGCCCTCACCCTCCATGGGGCAGGAGGCCACTTCCCCAGCACACACAGAACACAGAGTGCAGCCAGAGTAAGAAGGCAGCCCCAAAAGCCAACAAGCCCTGGAACCAAGACCCCAAGTCCATGCACTAAAGCTCATGCACTTGACTCAAGCCTGTACCCATAGCTGATCTCGCTGAGAACCCAACTACTCAGTATGTAAAATACAGGCTGATTACCTGATGTCCTAGCCACAGAAGATAGGAAAGCAGCAAGTGGGAAGAGAAGTTTGGAAGGGGGAAAGGAAGAGCTTCTAGAGGCAGGCAGAGCAGCCTGACACCTAGGGAGAAGGCAGAAAGACCATTAAGAGCACACTCTGAGACTCAGCGGGCGGAGGCGTCCGGGCCGTTTCATGCTGCGGCAAAAGGCCACATTCTTGTTAATTAAATAACACTTTTAAGCAGGAAACTGTATAAAATATTATTAAAATTTTAAACTTTCTATAAAAAGCACTAACGTTGACATAAGGTTCTGATACTTAAAAGGCAAGCTTCAGTTAGCTGGAAACCCCATGGAAACGCTCAGGGTTTCTCAGAGGGGCATCGCCCGTGGGTCACGCACAGCAGGATCGGTGGGTGGGCTTCTTACCGAAGGCAGGTTCCCGGTCCCTGCCGTAAACCCATCAAATCAGACTTTATGGAGACTGTGCCCGTCAATCTCCCTTGTTAAGAAGTTGCCCCAACAATTCTATATATGTCAAAGTTTGAAAGTCAGTGTGCTTCTAAAGAGGCCACTTCATAAATAGTCCTACAAATCAAGTCTCCAAAAGATGAGGAGCAGGAGGCAGGGACCTGACTTGGAGTCTAGTCTCTGACACTCACTCCTTGAGCAGGTTGCTCCCTCTCTCTGGGCCTCGGTTCCTCCCCTCTATGGTGAGAGAAAAGAACTGGGTGACTTGCCAGGCCTTTTCTCACCCCAAATCTATTTAAAAGTAGATATTTTTAAAAGTTCAAACAATAAGGCAAGCATGTTCATAGGATGCACATGCCACTATCATCTTTCAGGATGGCTGGATAAATTGCCGACATGGAGGAAAAGCCTACCAGGCTCTCATAAAACCCCATCGTTTCCAAAGAGAGAGAACAAGAGAGAAAAGCAGGTTAAGAATGAGTCCAAAGAGAAGAGTGGAATACTTACCCTAAAGGAAAACTCGAGGTTTTCTCCGCCCCAGACTTCCATTCCTGTGTCATAAGACCCCAGATATTCAAAATATTTCTTACTCACGGCAAACAGCCCACCAGCCATTGTTGGAGACCTAGAAGCGTGTGAGATCCACATTGCAGTGCAAGCAGCAAGAAACCCTCAGTTAGTTGAACTCCCTTCCCACCATAAGCTCTTCAGTCCAATCATCCATCTCTAAAGAGAACCCCCAGCGCTAAGCTAGGCCTGGGGGCACAGGCCTACCTCATGAGGAAGTGCACAGACAGCTCAACAGGCAAGTACAGAACTCTGTGTAGCATTTTTGTGTTAACTCAATCACCCTGAGCCTGTGTGAACACAGAAGAAAGAGGTCATGAGGGGAGGGTGTGGGGGGCAGGGGAGCTCAGTTGACCGGAAGAGGCAGGGTATGCAGAACAAAAGGGAGTTAGCCAAGAAAAGAAATGGAATGGTTCTCCAAGAAGACACCATCAAGAGCAAAGGTGTAAGGCTGAGAGAAACCCTGTACTTTTAGAAGCACAGACGACCGGGAGATAAGACCACGTTCCCCCAGAGAGTGGCAGGCGCCAGGCTGTGGCGGCCTTGGTCACCCAGTCAAAGTGCCAGCCCTCACAGAGGCCCCCAGGAAGCAGTGAGTAGAAGATCCTAACAGGCACCAGCCTCATAAGGCTCCCAGGGCCGGTTCCTCTCCAGCGCGCGCAGTCTCCCCTCCAGGATCCAGACACCAGCTCCGGCCTGTGTCCTCGGCTGGCCCTGTTTTCTCTCTACCCTGTTCCTCTAGAAGACAACACTGGCTTCAGAAATGGCCCAAGGCTTCCATGCTACCCCAGCAGAAAGCTGTAAGCACACCGCAGACAAACAGAAGAAAAGAATAAATTCAGAAATGGAGAAAATCAACGAGAGCTTAGGCAAGATGCTCCCAAAGGGCTCCTCCAGAAGCCTGGGCGTTATCTTGGACTCTTCCCTGCCTCATTCCCATTCAGTTTCTCCCAGTTCTTCCACCACAACATCTCTGGAGTCCGCCATTTCCCTCCACCTTCTCCTGTCCCTGAAGACTACAATGCCTCCTAACGATGTCCCTGCTGGCAGCCCTGCTCCCTCCAGGCCCCTCACCACATGGCATCCAGAACAATCTTTAAAGAATTTCACAGGCAAAGGTCACGTCCAGCTAAAATCCCTTCAGTAGCTTCTGCCCTTTCAGGGTGGAGCCCACACCCTTTCCTTGATCTTCAAAGCCGGACATGACTCGACCCCATTTACCCCTCCAGCCCCACCTCCCAACACTGGCTCCATTCTCGTTCCACTTCAGACAGTGGCTCATCTCAAGGCCGGACCCAAGCGGAAGGATTCAGAAGCCCAAATGCCAAGGTAGCACAGAGACCATTTCAGGCTCAATACACCAGCCATAAAGCTGAAGTCCAATCCCCATCTGCCTGGTGCTTACGTCTGTCTCCTAACCGGTCCTCAACTTGGAAGGGGAGGAGCAAGCCAGACTCTTATTTCAACACCTCAAGAATGGGCACTGAGCCTCTTGAGCCCACTCTGCTCAGACCCAGGCTCACCCACTGGCCAAAGCTGGCTCCCCCACCCCCGGGTCCAATCACCTCCCCAATTCACAAGGTGCCTGACAGTATGTCCTCGAAATGTTAAATATGGACTTACCATAAACCCAGCGATCCCACTCCTAGGTACATACCCTAAAGAACTGAACATAGGGACTCAAAACGAATAATAGTGCACTCATGTTCACAACAGCATTGTTTACAATAACCAAATGGTGGTAACAACCTAAATGTCCATCAACAGCTGAATGAATAAACAAACTGTGGATGTATAGACAAAGGAGTACTCTTCTACTATAAAAAAAAGAATGAAGTTGGGCCCTGGTCAGGGCATGTACAAGAATCAACCAATGAATGCATAAATAAGCCGAATAACAAATTGATGTCTCTTTCTCTCTCTCTCTTTCTTTCTCTCCCTCCCACTAAACCAAAAAAAAAACAACAAAAAAACAAATATTGTATGATTCCACTTATATGAGGTATCTAGAATAGGGAAATTCATAGAAACAGGAAGTACAAGAGAAGTTACAAGGATTTAGGGGAGGGAAGGAACAGGAGTCCTTGCTTAATCATAGTGTTCCTGTACAGGATGATGAAAAGTTCTGGAAATACGCAGAGGTGATGGTTGCTCAATAATATGAATGTGCTCGATATCACTAAATTGTACCCTTAAAAATGGTTAACGTGGGAAATTTTAGATTATGCATATTTTTCCATGATTTTTAAAATACACACACACAAACACACCAATATAAAATCCATGTATGTCGCGATGATTTTTCATAAAAATAAACAAATGCTCAGGAGGAAGGTGGGGGGCCCACCAGCTAACTACCCCTGCTAAAGGCCTGCACCAACACGGTAGCCAGACGCAATAAGGTTCACTCATAGAAGTCGCCCCCTAACCTGATGACATCGATGGGGGATCGCATCCGCATCCGCTCTCTCTGGGGAACCACGTGCCACGTGAACACCAGCCTCCAGTCGAAACCGCCGATCTGGGGTTCCCCGGCATTCCCCATGTACTCGAAGGTGTTCCAGTCAATCACATCTATTACCGGGCACACCACTGCCGACTCCTCTTCATGGATCCTGCAAATACCAGGACGCCCCGTCTCTCCATGTGGACGGGTGCAGGAGGACACCTGAGAATCTTGGGGATGAATTCTCCTCGCCCTTCCGCTAGGAAGGAGGAATACCTGTGTGAGGAAGATCTGCTTCTCTTTTCCAGGTGTCCACAGCCATGTCAGACAGGTGAGTATCTTGGGGAATTTTAGGGGAAAAGTGGGGAGCAAGGATTCTGACCTTAATATGAAACGTCCCACAGCTTTAATATTCTGATTGTACCTATGGACACAGCGGCTAAATGTGCCTCGCTCTACCAAAATCAAGACGTATAAAAAATCAAAGGTAACTTTTAAAACAGAAAGTAGATTTTCAATTCCTCAAGACTGCAGAAGGTTCCTTCATTTAATCACAATGAATCGCAAGAAGTCAAGAAATAATTATCTCCCTGTGCAAAGATGCCTCCAAACCAAAGGGTCAGCTTTGGAGTTAGAACATAAATTCTAATCCTACCCCTTATTTACCGTGTGACATTAGCTGAGTCATCTAACCTCTCAGGGACTATTGCCTCATGGGTAACAGTAGAACAGGGTGGGGCAAAAGTAGGTTCACAGCTGTTTGCAGCGACAATAATACAATAATTAATAAGTAACAATGCAAAATGACCTGTAAGCCTGCTTTGCCCTACCCTGTACAGGCTCGCAGGGTTAACATGAAGACTCCCAGAGAATGGAGGATGGCTGGCAGAGAACCCGGAACTATGGCTATTCTTTTCTTTTAATCTTTATTATTGTGAAATATTACACATAGAGGGAAATGCTATGATTTCCTGTTGCAGATATCAGCCTGTGCGTCTGCTTTGGCTAGCCCCTCCACAATTATTACAAGCCCAACCAGCCTTCGGCACGCTTCCACAGCCGTGTTTTCTCGCATTTGACAGCACACCAGGAAAGATGAACTGAGACCGGACTATGCATGAACACTAGATTCCTCTGGGTTACATTTGGGGGGCTTTTATTTGGAATTTGACTCGAAAAATCGTAAGAGTCACACCAAAAAAAAAATGGTGTGAAGAAACAGAGATCAGCCAAACTTGAGCTCCATGTGTTTCTAGAATAACACCAGAAAGTTAAAGGGGACATTATGACTATGACACTGAAGTAAGGATGACAATTTTAGGGGAAACTGCACTGCTCAGGATAGATTATGTGACACAGAGAATCAAAACCATGAGTTCACTACATTCAGGAAGTTGCAGAGTCAGTATCTACCAAAGCCCAATTCTTTAAACCAATAAAGGACATTATTAAAAAGGGGGAGGGGGCGGCAGCAGACCTGCTGGGCATGTTCAAAGATGCTGCGTGGCCCCGAGCAAAGACCCCGAGAACATGTGACTTGTAACCAAGCTGGTTGGAACCATGGGTAGCCTAATTTTTACAAGAAAAGGCAAACCGGGAAGCCAGCACAGGGGTAGAGGACTCTGAACCACAGTTACAGAACGTGCAGGCCGACGAGCCGCACGTCCAGTGAAGGGCTCCTGGCACCCGGGGCAGAACCGCCCTGGGCTACGCAGGACGCACAGCGCAGGACGTCTGGCACCCCTGGTCCCTGGCTCACTCAATGCCAGGACCACCGTCTGGTTAGCTTGACAACCAAGAACATCTATTTCCAAAAGGCCCTAGAAGGAAGAGGTTACTGTTCCTGGTTGGGACCACCGGAGCAACAGAGTCCAGTATGGGTCAATTCTGGTGCGTACCAAGTCCTTAGGTGAGATTTTGAAACATCTAGAAGCCTGGGCTCCACCACCAGAGACTTAGATGCCAGTGGTGTGCCGTAGGCCCAGAGGTTGGCATGTTTAAAACTTCCCCACTCGTTTCTAACAGGCAACGCGGGTAGGGAATCCTTTTCTACAAGTAGAGAGCAAGGGCTTGTTTACGGGGGCGCTGCTTGCTCTCTCCAAAGGGTGGGCTGACAAGGAACTCTAGGTGACATTAGTGTGCCAACTGACTTCAGACCAGCCTCCAGGTGGCCACCTGCATGCACAATGTCAGGGAGGGGAGAAAGGTGGACCCACTGGTCCAGACTCCAGAGGGAGTGCTCAGCTGTCACCGTGTCCTAAATGACCTCGGACTCCGCCACCGGCCTGGACAACCCTGGGTCCTTGCTGCTGGTGAAGCTCATCAGGGCTGAGGAGGTGAAGAGGTTGTCATGGCACCCACAGAGTCCAAGGACCCAGGAAGTAGCAGAGCAGGGACAGTTTGGTCTCACCCAGAAAGGGAGACACGCAGGTCCCAGCTTTTCCAAACAGACCCTGGCAACCAAAGTGCTGGAGGCCATGGGAAAGCACTTTGCCAAGGGCAGAGACCCTGATCCTCCAGCCCTTGACCCACTCGCTCCACACAGGGGGACCAAATAGAGACACCCCCCACCCCGCCCCTGCCACCCCGCAACCCAGGCCTGGATTTGCTAGCCCAGCTCCTGACTGCTGTGCAGAATCAGGAGAATGGAGAGAGAGAGAGGGAAAAGAAGAGGTTAAAAGTCAGGACCCTGTAACTGTGGTTTCGGGGAGGGGCAGGTTGGGAGCGCAGCGTAAGAGGCTATGAGAGGGTAGGAAAATTGGCCTTGAAGACAGGGCTGCATCATCATTTTTCATGACTTGATAAATACATATATATTAAAAACTACATTTTATGACTATAGTGATATAAAGACAAACAGTCTAAGCTAGATTCATTGTTGTGCAGTCATTATTAGGATATTCATTTTTCCTTCTGTATTTAAAGTGAAATTAACATAAAAATGTTTGTGGGTTCATTAAAGTTTCACAGGCCCTAGGCATTATCCATTACTACTGGGGGTAATGGATAAGTCAGCCCTGCTTGAAAGAAATACACCAAAATGTATCTTCTCTGGAAATGTCATTTTATATGATCGACAATTTTTTTGGTTGATCATTCTTCCTAAGTTTTCTACACTAAACGTGTATAATAAGCAGTAATAAAAGCAAATGCTCATACAGGGCCTCCTGCGTGCTGGCGTGTTTTAAGAACCGTACACGTATTCAATCACTGAATGGCCCCCAAAGCCCGATGAGTCAGGGGCTGTGACACACCCGGTGACAAAGGACTTGCCCAAGGAGCACCTGCACCTCTCGCCCCATGGCCTCTCACACGGTGGCGATCAGCTTGTTTTTGCTTCTGCATAGCGCTGGGACCCTCCCCACGCGGCCGGCTCACGCACCTCTGCAGCAGCGGCTCCAGCCAGCCCTCGTGGCACTCACAGTGGCAGTCCAGGAAGGTCAGCACCTGGCCCTTTGCCGCGGAGGCCCCCAGCAGCCGGGCTCGCACCAGGCCCTCCCTCTTGTTGGCGCGGATCAGGCGCACCTTGGGCAGCCCCGACAGCTCCTCGGCCAGGCGCTCCTTCAGGTGCTCTGGGGGACAAGCGGGACAACGAGGGTCACCACCACACACCAAGCCCGTCCCTTCCGGGGCCTCCCTGGCCCAAAAAGACGACTAAATAGACACAGGCCTCCATTGCTCTGCCACCGGGACACGCTCGCCTCAACCAGAACCAAGACTGGAAACACCCCAAAGTCCAGGGGGGGACGGGGTGGGGGAATTCCAGAACCACCAAATGCTTGAAATGCGCGGTATGGTATGTGGAGAGATCTCAATAAACAGAAGTATTACCCCCTGAAATACATTATACATTGACTCGTGAACATTTAAAAACAAAAAGCACAAGAACCACCCAACCACCATTTTTCTAAAATATTGTGTTAATATAAATATGTTAATTTATGTTAATTAATTATACTATATGCTATACATTTTTAATTTACATGGAATTATGTTAACATAAATTTTGTTTTTTAGTTATAGTATTAGACTTATGTTAATGAAAATTTTACAATATTATATTATTGTACTTATGTTAATGTACATTTTCTCAGGAGCACATTTCAGTTGACAGAGTAACAGTAGTAATAACGGCAGCTATGGTGAGAGGGCCTACTGTGCTCATTGCTCTCCAGTTACTTATATATAATTCACGCAATTCTTGCAACAATCCTACGAGGTAGGTACCACTATCACCCCCATTTAATAGATGAGAACACTAAGGCCAGAGTGGCTAAGTAGTTTGTCCAGGTCAAGGTCACAGAGCAAGTGAGCTGAAGACCCATGATTTACACCCAAGGGGCTGCGCCCCCTTGAGTCCACAGAGCTTTCTTGCGCACCTTCTCATCCTTGATAAACAAATCCAAAATTTTCAGGAGAACATCATGTTTTGCAGAAGAAGAAATGAGCTCTTAAAAGTTAAAAGGAAATGCCCACGGCTAGGGCTGCCCAGGGCTCCCGACTCCACACACAGGCTCCAGACTGGAGGCCCCCATTCACACCCCTTAGCAGCCAGGTGGAGGCTGGTGGGCACCCCTTAGGCAAAGTAAAAATGAAAGAACTTCCCCCACATCATCATGGGCTTTGTCTCAAAGTCTTCAATCATCAGGGAAACGGGCAATTTATAAAATGTTCCAGGCTGCTTCATAGTTTGTGAAACTATTTCCCTAAATATCTTTGCCACTCAAAAAAAGAAAAAGAAAAGAAAACATTCATCAGTTGGTTTATTTCAATCCTAAATGTAACTGTAAATAAGCTGATGGCAGGCCTAAGACAGGTGACTTCCCACGCGAAGGCATTACTGCGGTGCTCAGTGAGCGCCCGCAAAAGTGCACCTGCGGCCGCCCCGCACGCATCAGGGATTCGGTCAGCCTTAACCTCCTCTCGGCCTGAACTGTCTTCCCACACCCGGGGAGGGGCGGACACCGCATCCTGGAGCTCAGACTGACTGCAGCAAGGCCGCGAGGGGGCAGGCAGGACTCTCCCCTCCATGACAGGTTGGGAGGGCATCGCACCTGCTGTACAGGTTCCCACAGTGGGGGGCGGGGGGCGGGGGCCGTGGCCCGGCTGCACGTTTATGAGGGAACCAGGCTGTGCTGGAGGGGTTCAGACCGTGTGTCTGCCTACCACAGGAGCCCACCAATCCTGCTTAATTTCCTAAAGATAAAATTTAAATCTACTATTTGCTCCTGAATGAAGACATTTCTGAAATATTTTCAGCACTTTATCGTTTAACATTTCATAAAAATAGAAGTTACCATTTAACGAGTGCCCACACTATGCCAGGCACTGACCTTGCTTTACTTCATTTAATCCTCACAATGACCCTACAAGGCAGGGACTATTATTATTTTATTTTATTTATGTTAATTAACTATATCAATGTATTATAAAACAGAAGCTGAGGCCGAGGTTGAAACCGGTTAAGCTCCTTGCTCAAGGCTGTACAGCCGTGAAGTGATGGAGCTGGATTCAAGCCCACGCAGCATGACCCAGAACCAGTGTCCACACAGACCTATAAAACAACCCTGGAAGGGACGGACAAAAGGAAATGCAGATGAGTGCCTACCACATGCTGCTGCCACATGAGGCTCTGTCCTACACAGGTATATGTACACAGGATCCCATTTGTTCCTCACCACAACTCTCTGAGACAGATGTGGATAAACCCATTCACAAGCGAGACGACAAATGAACGGGGACTTGTCTTGCTCCCCAGCAAACCCCCGGTGCCTAGAACAGTGCCCAGCACACCGGAGAAACTCAAAAACTGCTCGCTGAATAATAGAGGGCCAGCCCTGGACTGCATGTGAGCTGCTGGGTCCCGGTCACCGGCCAGGCCTGCAGGCGCGCTGACCACCCTCTCAATCGGACACCTCTCCCTGGCTTCAGTTCTCTGCTCTGGGCTGCCCGTTTTGATCTCCTCTCAAACTCAACACATACAAAAACGGAACACCCCCTTTCCTCTCCCAGACCGGTTCCTCCTGTCCTGGGTGCCTTGTCCAGCCCTACGATGACACCGCCATTCACCCAGGGACCCATGCCAGAAGCCCATGGGTCCTCCCTGCACCTCAGCCACTCTCCATCCCTGCGGATGCCACCTCTCAAACACCTCTCATCCCACCCCTTCCCCCTTCCCTCTGCCACCACCTGACTCCAAGCCACCATCTCTCACCCGGGCCACCCCTACAGCCGCCCGGCCTCCCCACCAAGCGCCTCTGTGCATTCTTCCCCACACCCCAGCCAGAGGGATTCTCCCAAACAGTTCTCCTGCCTAAAACCCTGCCTTGGCTCCCCCTGCCCTTCGAACAAAGTCCCAGCTCCTTGGCCTCATGTCTAACACCTGCACGCGTCTCCAGCTCTCCTCCCTGTCCTCTTCCTACAACTCCCCATAGCAGCTGGTCCTCCCTCGTCTCTGAACGCCTGCTAGGTCCTGCACAATCCACACAGCGCTGCACCTCCAAGCCTATCCACAACGGCGCCCTCCACTTGAAATGCCCTCTTTCTTTCTCTGTTGTCCACAAACTATTTGACCTTCAAGACTAGGGTCAACCACCCCATCCAGGGCACGCAGGCAGCGTAGGCCCCTCTCCTGTTTCCCGTAGCACTGTGCAGTACAGGCCTCGGTCGTGACATGCGTCCCTCCACCAGGTTCAGAGCTCCCTAAGGGCGGCAGCTGGTCACAGGAGCATGCAGGACACCTGTCCTTACCAAGCCTGTTCCACATGTCCCATGTCACACTCTCACCTCCCAGGTACTGCCATGGAAAGCCGGGCTCCTCCAACAAACCATGCCAGGGGCTTACCTCTATCACTGTAGTCATCCACAAGGATAACTTCTTCCAGCAGGATGTCCGGGGATGTCTCGAGGACACTGTAGACTGTCCGAAGGAGAGTTGACCAAGCTTCATTATAAAATGCTATGATAACAGATGTTGTGGGCAGAAGGTCATAATCGTATTTCTCTTCTTTGCACCTGCAAATACAGCAGAGTTGCAGGAATCAAGAACCTACGGCTGAGTGTGTGTGTACCGGGCCCAGGTGCTGGGGATGGGCCGATGAACAGAACACAGGTCACGGTCTCAAGCCTCCCTCTGGGGAACGGGAAATAATCTGGGAGCTTCCAGAGCCTCCCATGTTCCACTAGAAGACCCAGCAGATTCTAAGAAAGGTTCTAAAATGATATCCCAGAAGCTTGGACTCTGAGATACTGGTTTTAAACTTTAAAGCAATTTTCAGGCTTGAGCAACATACAAACTAAGCAGAGTCAGAAGGCAGGGAGACTGCCGCTTCTCCCTGCTCCACGACCCTCCCCTCTGCCCACTCCTTCCCAATTCCACCGCCAGGCCTTTGCTCAGGCTATGCCCTCTGTCTAGAATGCCCTGCTCTCCCTTCTATATTTGGCAAAGTCCGTTCTCTTTCAAGGACAACTGAACCCTGTTCTCCCCCCCAGGAAGGCCCTGGGACCCCGCCTGGGGCAGTGGCTCCCTCCTCGATCTCCCCCAGCTCTTTTGCCCAGGCCTGCACCTCTGTTTCAGTATGTGTCACTCACAGCGCTCCGGCTACTCACGCCCCACTTGAATCTCCCTCTACCCTCTCCCAGAATCTTCCCTCCACTTCATCCCAGCTTAACAAAGGTAGTGCATTGAATGTATACGCTAGAACCAGGGCTAGGACGTATGAACGCTCCAGGAAGGGTGCTATAGAGGACAGTGACTACCCTCTAGTATGCATGCCATCCCTGCTCCATTCTGTGGCAGCTTCTTGGTGGTGGTAGGGCTGAGCCCACCCTTTCTGGGGGTCGGCCCTGACTGGCAGTGATAGGAACCAACAGGCTCCCTCTTTGTTTGGTAGGGTTTACCATTCCTTTGCAGGGAAGGTACTGGTTGAAACAAAATTCTCTCCTCGGAGGGACCAATGATAAACACCCAGTGTTATCCCAGGAACTGGGCAGTGCCTGGAAATCATCAGCAGGTCATGGCTGACAGCACGATAGGGGAGGGACAAAAACCCAAGAAGGACACCAGAACAACCAAGGTTTGAATGCTAACCTGGCTGCTGGGCTGGAAATTCTAGAAAGGGATAAATGCTGACGACCAGCCAGGGTGCTGGCAGATAGGGAAGGCCTTACCAACAAGCTGAGTGGCAAGTCAAAGGGATGGAGAACCAAGCAGGATGAGGGGCGGAACTAACATCTGCTGACGATCTATTCCACCTGCTAGGCACCATACAGTGGGCCTTTATCAGCCAGTCACCAAATATTTCCTGATGGCCTAGTGTGTGCCAGGGAGGCAAAACCCCTGCTCCCACAAAGCTTACATTCAGGGAGACAATAATAAAGTAAGCAAACAGATCGATAATTTCCAAAAGTGATCGATCATACAATGAACAAAAGAAGGGTGATTAAACAGAGCAACCACAGAGGGGGTGGAACGGAGAATGGAAGCAACCGCAGAACAGGTAATCAAGGAGGACCTCTGAGAGGCCGTGATACTTAGGATGAGACCCCAGATGACATTTTGACAAGGATCTTATGAGACCCCCCCAAACCAGAACCACCAGCTAAGCCACACTGAATTCCTGACCCTCAGAAATAATGTAAAAGAAAATATTTATTGTTGCTTTAAGTCATTAAGTTTTGTGGTAGTACCTACGTGAAATAAATCACAAGGAAACTCTCAGACAGGCCCAAACTAAGAGACGTTATATAAGCCAACGGGCCTGTACTCTTAAAAAATGTCAATGCCCTAAGAGACAGTAAAAGGCTGAGGAACCACTTCAGACTGAAGGGGACTAAAAAGACAGGACAACTAAATGGCTTACTTGATTCTTGATTAGATTTCAGATCAGAAAAAAAAAAAGTTGAGACAGTTGGAAAAATCCAATATTGTTTACATTTCCTGAACTTGATAACTACACATCATAGTATCAGAAGAGAATGTCCTTGTTCTTAGGAAATATACCCAGAAGTAACTAAGGATAAAGGATTATTATCTCAGACGTGTATATTATACTAATAGAAAGAGAAAAATTAAGTCAATGGGGCAAAGTACATCATGAGTGGATCTAGGTGAAGGATATATAGGAGTTTGTTGTGCTATTCTTGCAAATTTTCTCTAGGTTTCAATTTTTCAAAATTAAAAGTTTCACTCAAAAAGGAAAAAAAGTTTAATGTCACAAAGGGCACAGCAAGCCAGTTCTGACCTACAGAATTGTATCTCAATCTTAGTGGATATCACAATGGCCCTATGCTCTCATTTTTTCCACTTCCACCAAAACAGCTGTCCTCCTCCAAATATATGTTTTAGCAAATGGGAAACATATAAATGTATAAGAATATTAATAAGTATGTCTGCATTGAATAAGTCCCTGCATACTAGACAGGGTGCATGGAAAAGCTATTATAGCCCACATAGAAGCATTATAAAGGGTTGTTTACACTACATGAAAAAAATGTGTTTTTGTGCAATCTAAAAATAAAGTTTTTTTATCGTAAGAAAAGGTAAAGTTGAAATTTATTTTCAAATATACACAGATCCAAAGTGAAATGAGTAGAAATAAGGACTATGAAGCGAGGTCTTCAAAAATAAAGTTTATTCGATTTAAATAACTGCCCTTTAGTCTGGAATCATATCCCTACTGTTTTGGATTAAAATTTATTTCTTCTCATGACAGTAAGTAGGAGGGCAGGAGGATAGTAAGTAGGAGGGGTCTGTGTGACCACAGAGTTGGGACTGCCTGTCAGTCCCTACTCAGTGTTTTTATTGATGTTTCCACTGGTCTGTGACAACCCAAAGTCCAAGGCCACTTTTCTCAAATGTCTTGGTGGTTTCGCTATTTATATCTCCTTAAATCACAAGAACGCTGGGTACCACTTTGACAACACATACTCAGAGCTTTAAAATGTTCCTCTTCTCTTTGATCTCATACTAATATATCTAAGCATTTCTCACCTAAGGCAGTAATCAGAGATATCCTGAAGGAGGCTTGTGGCAAAATTTTTTCTTTGAAACATTATTTATAATAGCAAAATTTCAATATCCAACAAGAAGTAGTTAAATAAAGTATAGCACTGCTGCATGAAGAAATGCTACATGGCTCTCCAATTCACATTGTCAGAGAATATTGAACAATAAAAGACAATGACCACATTATAATGTTAAATCAAAAAGGCAGGGTACAAATCTGTATAGCACAATGCCCAGTCTATACACAATTATGCGTGTGCACACGCACTCACACATAAACAATAAACAATAGAGAGAAATATGCCAAAATGTTAACAATAGTGATCTCTGAGTAGTGGATTATTGCTAATTCTTATTTAAGTCTTTATGTTTTTCCGCACTCTAAAATTATTCTACAATAAATATACATCGTTTTTATAACCACAAAGAAAGATTATTTTTTAAAATCTGGATATTTCTTTAGCTCCCCATAGCAAATGCCTTCATTGAACAACAATGTGATATTCTGACCTCTCCTTTTTCTCTTGGCCTGGTAGTTTCTCCTTTCTCTAGAACATCCCTCACAGGCATTCTCCTTCTTGACTGTTCAATGCACTCTTCAGGAATGTTTTCACAAGAAACACTTTCCCCTTTTCCTGACTGATAAAAAGTTGTGCATCCTTCAGTTAGAAGAGGGTCGCTATGCATCACTCAGGGTCCCACGTCTGCCAGGGGGACAAATAGAAAGCTGAGAGCCAAAGTGCTAAATCACAGTAAGCCACCCTTTCCTTAACCCTCTGGCCTAATGTGTGTGCTTCGTGGGGGCAGGGGCTGAACTGTGGTTTTCTCTGGATATTCAGCATGCCTTGTACTCTACTTGGTAATAACAGTAACATTCATGGGGTGCTTATTATATGCTAGGCAGTGTGCTAAGTATTTTACATGCGTTATTCTATTTAACCTTCACAATAGCCTGTTGGGTGGGGACCACGCTAATCTCTGCTAGCACGATAAGTGTCTCCGTAGTATACGGATGTGAATGAAATGGGTGCAGTAAATGCCTCCTCATCTTTTATCTGTGTACTCAGGTTATCACAAAAATATCTTTAAAAAAGGAAAATTCATGTCCTTTGTAGAACAGGCCAGGGAGGTCATAATGTCCACTGTTGTGTTTTATCTGCCCAGGTTCCCTTCACCTTTCCTCACCTTACTGCACTGTGATTTCTCTTTCAGAAACCATGCCTCCTGGACTCTCGGTCTGTGTGGTTTGCACAGGGTTAAGGAGACACACGTGCACGCACACGCGCACGCACACACACGCACACGCACAAAGACATGTATAAAACACACACATGGCCCTCTGGGAAAGTCAAAGGCCCCAGGCCTGACCAGTCAACCTTTTCCTGATGACAGCAGCAGAAACCCTGAATCCGGGGCCCAAAATAATCTGAACCCAGTTCTCATCCCAGAATTTTCTGTGATTGAAGCCAATATATTTTATTATATATGTATATCAGTGTCCATTGAGTTTTCAGTCACTTTCAATCCAAAGAATCCTGACTAAGAAAGAGTTTAACAAATAGCATGAAATAAGATGGCATAATTAAATCCTAAAGTATGAATAAGCACAATAAACATAAGTGAACATTATTATAACTAATTAAAGTCGGAGACTATTAGTCTGGATTTTTTTTAAAAAACCCACAAACCCAACAACATGTTTGAGACACACCTAAAACATAAGGACATATAGTGAGTGGGAAAAGGTATCATGAAAATACTAAAAAAACTAAACATGTTCTCAACTTGAAGAACTGATTCAAAGAAAGATGCCACTCAGACTGCTTCAAGATGAGTCTAAAAAAACTAATAAAATATCTTGCAGTTTACAGCCTTGTTGGAGAAGCAAAAGAAACATCATTCTAATCTCCACACCATATATGATGTTTTCCTAAAAATAATGTTATCGGAACAGACAAGCAGGTTACCTCACTGCAAAAAGAGAAATCCTACCTAACCAATTCCCTCCCGTCAACCCTCACAAGACACCAAACACTTTTGCTAAATTACCAACGTAGAGCTATTTCCAGGCTATCATCCCAGCCCACAAATCCTGATCCCTGAACTTAAATACATCAGCAGTTATAGCATGAATAAGACTAAAATCAGAGCAAGCTTTTACGAAAAGCAAATGCCTGTGTATTATTATGCACTCTCCTATCCAGGGGTGCACAACCCCTCTGCTGCAGCAGAGAATGGCTGGCGTTCACAAGGGCGGCGCCCTCATCCATGCGCCCCTGGAAAGGCGCTCTCACTCCACCTTCATCTCCAGCTACATAAATCAGAATGCAAACAGGAATGGCATTCTAGTGAGTAGCTCAAGGCTTCTCTGGTCTATGAAAATCAAAACCTTTTGCAAATATTGGTAGTACAAAATCGTTAGCCATTTCTAACTTGTGACACACCTTACAACTGGTTGATGTCATCATTAATTTCAGCTGCACTTGGCCTGAATTTAATCCCCACTTTGTCTAATGCTGGTGTTCTCCCACGCCCTCCAAAGCACCCACCCTTAATCTTCCCAGTGAGAAATCTTCAGGCTCTCAGCCAGTAGCTTTCAACCCTTGTTGACATCGGCCTTAGCCTAGGCTCTACCCACAGAAATTCTACTTAATTGTTCTGGGGAAGGCATCAATATTTTTAAGAGTCTCCCCAGGCCACAAACGCAGCTATTTGGCTCCCCACTTTGGCCTGCTGCCATCTCAGAGCGAAAGCTCCCTCTCCTTGCTAAACTCAAATGGGATGGTATTTGTTAAAGAGTATTGTGAACTCTATACTTACTATATCACCATGCAAGTATTCCTCATCATCCTCCCCCTCCTCCTCAATCTGGTACTACAACTAACAAATAAAGCTGTGCTCTAATTCACCGGCCTACGGAGTATTAGACTCAGAAAGGCCGGGTGCTATACCAAGCCTTAAAAAATCAGAACCAACACTCCTACGTTTCTCTACAGCCTGGCTCTGTCGAGGAGTACAGACATGGTACCAAGGCTCGCAGATGCTAGGAAGAGCCCAGACAAATAGTCCCCTGGGAGTTCCCAACTTCCTGTCTATGGTAACAGGTTTATCCACTGTGCAGCAGTCCTCACTTATTATCAACAGATTGACTTTAAGCAAAACAACATATAATGAAACCAATTTTACCATAGATTAATCAATACAGATAGAAGTGGAGTTCCTACAGCATCTCATCAGTGTTGTAACAAAACAACTTCGAATGAAAGGGTGCTATTCAAGCACCTGCTGTAGTGTAAACACTGGTTAAAAACATGTGTGGGCCTATATAATATTCATGTTTGAATATGTTCTCACCCACATACCCATATGTATATTTTTCAAAATCTATTTCTATATCTGGAAAAGTCTAGGATACACTGCAAATGTTAACAGTGGTTCTCCCTGGGGTGGTAGGTTTATGGGCGATTTTTATTTTTTGCTTCTCTGTATATACTAAAATACCTAGAGTGAACATGTATTGTTTTTATAATTAAAATAGATAAACGAATGCCTCCGCCCTGAAAGGGAGAAGGGAATAAAAGATCTGGTTCTAGATCCACTCTGCCCACCTCTGCCTTTCCCTCGGCTTTTCTCTTAGCTGAGGCTGGATGCTGCCTCAGGGCCTTTCCTCCTGGGACATTCAAGGATCTTCACCACCCCCTGGCTTATTAACTAGATTCCCAAGGGACCATCCCTCACATTCCCACTACAAACTCACAATCCGCCAATCCTCAGGCTAAATATCAAAAGCATGACTAGGCCCGCACCCCTGTGTGAACTGTAACGAAAGTGAGTGTCCATGAAAGGCCCTGACATTACTGGCCATGTTGAAGTTATGCATCAAGCCCTGGCCTGGCTGAGCCCAACACAGATAAGCTTACCTTTCTCTCCGGTTAGGCAAGAATAACCCAACAGGCCTTGCAGCAGGACTTAAAAGCAGGAGGCATTCATACCCCTTATCACACTGGGTTTGGTTAAAGCCCCAGGGTCAATGCCACAGCAGGAGCTATAAGCAAATCCTGATAGGCCACAGAGCACTGCGTCACCATGGAGACAGGATACCATAAGCCCCGTAGGTCATTCAGTGTTTCAAAGAGATTTCACAACCTGGGACAATAAAGGAAGTTGGAACCCAGAAAAGAAAAACTTTACGACCAAAACCCTGGATGACTCTAAAAAGTGACCTCCTGGGTAAATTGTTAGCAACAGGGAAGACAAAAAAAACTAAGTATTGAGTACACAGAGTGTTCCCAGGTGTTAGGTGCTTTATTAAACTCCTCGGTTGTGTTATTTCTACTCATTCCCTATTTTGCTGATAAAGAAACAGGCTTGGAGATGCAAGGTCACTTGCTTAAGATCACAGAGCTTATAAACAAAAAAGCCGAAATTTTATTTCACATGGGCTGGGCTCGAACCCTGGGTCTGACCTAAAAGCTTTCCTCTAAACTGGCACTCAGTGAGCACACTTGGAATTTCAAGGAGATAAACACGCATTCAGCCATTTGGCTGAAGTCGGGGGAACTGCTACCAACCCCAACAAACAAATTTCTCAAAAAGATTAACCGGGAAAATGCTTTGGCAAAAGCGCAAGGCTAGAGATGAGCAGATCCAAAAAAAAAAAAAAAACAGGTAGGTGCAAGTCCATCCAGATTTTGCAGAGGCAGGACCATCTCGTGCAGACATTCATGCTCTCTCTGGCCAAGGGTCCACAGAGCAGGTCCCTTAAATCTTGAAATCAGCACAGTGCCAAGGGGACCAGGAGTATCACAGTCCCCCAAGTTCCACCACTTTCTAGCTGTCACCTGTCCTCTCTGAGCCTATTTCCACACCTGTAAATTAGGAAAGACAAGAATCAGGGAGGGATGGCAGGTGCCTGGCACACACGGCAGGCCGCCCAACTAGATACTCCGAGGGACGCCCTCAATGAACCCTCTCCTCCTCAAAGTCTTTAAGGAGGGGCTCAGGCAGGGGCATGGAAGATTCCCACCGATGAAGGAATGGAGAGACAAGGCCAGAAGGGCCATCATCCTCCTGCCAGCTCAATCTCTTCTTGAAACCTAGGCAGTGCGCACAACGTGCCCAGTGAGCAGCTGCAATAAGAACTACACCTTCGACCACACAGGCTCTGGGCCTGCACCACCCATAGGAGTGAACCGGGCTAGACCACAGCCAAAAGGAGCCCTTCCCACTAGCCACTCCTTCCTGTTCCTCCTCCTAAAGCTCAAGTGAGAAGGAAGGTGCCTCTGACGTGGCCTTCTAGCCACATTTCACCTCACCTGCCCAGGGTGCACACCCCTCCGGGTCATTCATTGGCCCAGGTGCACACAGAAGTGAATGGAGCCTATCTGAACCCCAGGAGTTCTTGGCTTCTCCAAGGCAGGACGATTCCAGCAGAGCTGGACTGAGGGTGCTGTGGCACCCAGGAAGGGCACCCAAAGCAGGTCTCATCATAAACCTGTCTACTTAGCCCCGACCCCCATTTTTCAGGACCGAATGACAGATCTTCTCAAGGGGGAGGGAGCCAAGAGTCCACGTAAGCACAGATTTATCAGTTTCTGACATTTTCCTATTTTCTTTAAAAAAAAACTTTCTGGTGCCGTTCCCCCCATATAACCCTTCTACTGCCAACTCCTGAGAAAGACTCAGTAAGACGGCGATCCCTAGGGATTTTGAGACCCCCACGCTACCACTTCGCAGATGCAGAAACTGAGGCCTTGGGACTCCCTGAGCAGGGCTCCTCCTGCCACCTGCGGACTCACAGCGGATTCCAGCGCTCCGGCAGGCGGCGGTGCAGCGAGATGCGGTCGCTGAGGTAGATGTTGATCTGATGGAGCTGCACGCTCTCCTCTTGCAGCTTCAGCTCCTCGCCCTCCAGCTGCAGCCGCACCGCCTCGCCCTGCGCCCCTAAAGCGTCCTCGGGCACCGGTGGCCGCGGTAGGACGGGGTCGCGCCGGCGGGACCGCGGGGTGCGCGGGAGTCCCGGCTCGGCCGCCCTGGCCCCGCGATGCGCCCGCAGCACCGAGACCAGCCCGGCTAGCGCCAGCAACGCCACCAGCACCAGCAGTGCCTCCCGGCCGCGCCGCAGCCCCCGTGGGCAGCGCCGCCACACCGCGCGCCCCCACATGCGCCCACCAGCGGCTGCAAGCGCTCGGCGCGCCCCGAGGCGGCGGCGCAGCCGGGGACCCGGATCCCGGAACAGCAGCGCCCAGCGGCCCCGCCCCGCCCCCGGCCCGCCCCACCTGCGTACCGCCCTCTTCCCTTCCAGCCCTCCCTCCGGACCGCAGGAGCGCTGCCCCAAGCGGAGTAGGAAGGCTATTCTTACCCAGTCCCCGCTTGGACTTGCTGAGACTAGCACCTCGCTGGTTGGGCTGTGTGCATTATTTAAAAGGTAACGGCGTAGCCCTGGCCAGTTTGGTTCAGTTGGTTGGGCGTTGTCCTGCAACCCGAGAGGTCTCCAGGTCCCATTCGGGCCAGGACATATACCTGGGTTGCTGGTTTGGTCCCCAGTGCCGGGCGTGCAAGAGGCAACCCACTGATGTTTTTCTCTCTCACATGGATGTTTCTCTCCCTCTCTTTTCCCTTCCCCTCTCGCTAGAATCAATTTTTTTAAAAAAAGTAACAGCGTAAAATCTTTAGCTCAGCGGCTGGCACGTTTTAAGTGCTCAGTAAAAGTTGGCTGCAGAGTGCTAAGAATTTTACTGACAGTATATCATCTGACTCTATACAGTCCAGCAAGAGGGGTACTAAGATTATAAACACTTTGTTCCGGAAGGGAAGACAGGCACAGCAAGGCTAAGTGACACCAAGCTGTCCACTGAGGCCTGCAGGCCCTACCGAAGACACACTGTTTAGATCCCTTGAATAACAAACCCTCCTCTGGCTCCCTACCAGTGGATATTTCTGTTTCTAACCTTCACTTTACAGATGCCTCCAAGAAGCTGATCAAAGCAATGAACTGTTCCCTCTGAAAAACACACACCCCAGACCATGCGATCATGCTAAATACCCTAGGTCTTGACTCCAGGTTTCCTTTGGGGCATTGAGGGAATGAAGGAGCCAGGGGGCGCTGCAAATATTTAATTGGTCGAGACCAGAATGAGACGTGAAGATCTCTCTGAGGTGCAAAATTTAAGAGTGGGCCAAAAAAACCCTCAGTAATCAAAATTAATATTTTAAAAATCAAAATAAATGCAAAAATCCATGATAAAACAACATATCAAAATTTTTAATAAAGGCAGAACCTGACCCTATGCTTACATAGCTCGCCTCACTCACCCTAATCCCAGCCCTGATTTTGATATCTTGATCGTGAAGGTGATCAAACAGATATATACAAGGGTGGGGGGGGGACCAAAACAAAGAGAATTTATTTGTAAAAAATTGTGTATTTATTCTTACACATTTAAACTTGTCACCTTCAAAGTACTCTCCATTGATGCAATTCAACTGTTGAGACGTTTTCTTCCACTGCTCAAAACAGTTTTTGAACTTGTTGATTTTGATGCCTTTTAGTGCTTCTGCCATTTTTTGTTTCACTTCTTCCACATCAGCAAAATGTTTCCCTTTGTGACCTTTTTTCGTCTGGGGAAACAAAATAAAAGTTGCTCGGAGTGGGATCGGGTGAATAGGGAGGGTGGGGCATGGGGGATCATGCCATTTTTAGCCAAAAACTGCTAAACACTCAGCATGGTGTGGACAGGTGTAAATCACCATCATGAAATGGGTAGATGTGTTGAGTCTTCAAAAACATTTCACTGAAGGCCAACGCAGCGCGTCACAACAATGCCAGCTGGTGCACTGATACAAATGGGTTCCTAGAACACTCACCTAGGGGGGAAGCCTGTACTCCAAGGGGGCCGCCCTCCAGAAGATAATTCTGGATTTTTGGCGGCGGGGGGGGGGGGGGGGGATTTGTCCTACATATGTAAAAATTCATCAAGTTCCTCTTTAAAACCTATGAACCTATGAAGGTTATATCTCAATTAAAAATCAAAAAATCAAAAATAAGTAAAAAGACAGAATGAAGACCTTTTTCTAAAAAACAGAGAACCCCTGGCCTCCACAACAAGCACTAAAGTCCTCAACTTGACAGGAGAAGACCACAGAATGTGACTCCAAATTCTGCAAAGCCTACCTCCAGCCTCCGGGGGAGGAGAGGCAGGGCTTGGCCACTCCAGATCTTTGCACACGCTGTTCTCTGCTCGAAGTGCTCTTCCGCACCTGGGTAACCTCTGCCAAAAGCTACCTTCTCTGCAAAGGCTTCAACAACTCCACAGCCTTTTTGGCAAATGTATTTCAAGATTGTTTCATCCTTTTGTGTATTAGTCAGGGTTCCACTGGAGAAATAGAACCAGTAGGAGATATATTAAGAGATTTATCGCAAGGGATTGGTTTATGTTATTTGTAGGGGATGGTTAAGCAAATCCAAAACCTGTAAGGCAGGCCATCAGAAAGGGCAGGCTGAAACCCTCTGGCACGAGCTGAAGTCATAGTTCACAGGCAGAATTTCTTACTTTCTAGGATGACCTCAGTTCCACTCTTAGGCCTTTTGACTGATGAAATCAGGCCCCCCTTCACTTAAAAGTCAACTGATTGTGAACATTCATCATATCCACAAAATACCTTCACAGCAACATCTAGATTAATATTTGATTGCATAACTGAGGATTAAAGCCTAGCAAATTGACACATCAAACTCACCATCTCTATTAGTTTCCTAGGGCTGCCAAAACAAACTACCACACACTGGGTGGCTGAAAAACAACAGAAATTTAATCTTTCACAGTTCTGGAGTCCAGAGTTAATCAGTCCTGTCAGCAAGGCCCCGTCCTCTCCGAAGGCTCCAGGGGAGAATCTGTTCCATACCCTTCTCTTAGTTTCTGAGGTTGCTGGCAATCCTTGCCTTTCCTTAGTTTGTAGACGTCTCCCTCCAAGCTCTGCCTCCGTCACCACGTGGCTTTCTTCTGGTGTGTGACTGTATCTGTGCCCCTGCTACTCTTCTAAGGAAACAGACGTATTGGATTTGGGCCTACTCTAATGACTTTATCTTAACTTGATCACATCTGGAAAGACCCTATTTCCAAATAAGGTCACATTCATGGGTCCTAAGGATTAAGATTTCAACCTATCTTTGCAGGGAACACAATTCAGTCCATAATACCATCATACTTCGTTACAGCATTTGGTACATGGGATTGTGTTGAAATCAACCCTGGCCTTGCAACAACAGCAATAAAAAATGTAAGGGACCCACAGTGAGTGGTCAACTAATGTCAGGCTTTGTGTCTGTCTCATGCTCACTTTGATACGTATCTGCCTGAACTCACTGGGAAGGTGTCTAATGGAGGGCACAACCTGGTTAAGGGCAGAGAGAGCTTATATCCCCAAATGTAACAAACATGAATGCTTCAGGCCTTCTTGCTGGAAGGGCCTCGGTGACAATGTAATCTGGGAATTTTCCAAGTCCACTTCCAGAAACTCCAGGGGACCACCCAGCAAAGTGGAAAGAGGCTTACTGGGCGGGGCTCCAGTTCTTCCCGAAACCAGAGCATTGACACGTTTTATCTGCTTAATACTTTGAACTTATTTAGATTGCGACACCCTCCTCCCTAATTACCAGAGTAACTGGTAACGAGAACAAAGGAAGTATGTTGTCCAGGCCCGCAGCTGGTCCCCGTGACAGAATGTAGAATGCAATAAAAAGGTGTGGCAGAAACAGCGGGATGTCTGTAAATTAGTATCCATTCTCCTCTTGCCCAACAGTAGAACCCTTGATTTTTTTTTTTTCATTCGTTTGTTTCTCTGGGTCCATGGTCTTCCAAAATAAAGACTATGTTTCCCAGCCTCCAGGGCAGCTAGACATAGATGGCCATGTGACTAAGCATGCTGTTAATGGGCTATAAATGGTGGTATGAGAGGGAGCTCACAAGTAATGTCCTTAAAAGAAACTTCCTTACCCTTCTTTCTTCCTGCTGGCTGGATTTAGATGTGAAGACTGGAGCTCAAGCAACCACCTTGGGTCATGAGGTAGAAGGCATGCACTGAGGATGGTGAAACAACTTGGCAGATGGCACTTGGTTCCCTAACATTGTACACACTGAACCAATCCTGACATCCTCTTCCTAGGCTTTGTTTATGTGTAAAAGAGAAACTATCTCATTTAAGCCGCTGTTTCTATGGGTTTTCTGTCCTCTGCAGCCAAATTTAATCCTTGTTGATATGAAGAGAATTCTCCCCAAATCTGGATCAGATAGTGTGGTGCTTCGAAAACAAGGCTGAAAATTCCTTAATATTCCCTCCTCTTGAATCAAAGCAGATTTATAACTGCCTCAACCAATAGAATATGGAAGCAGTGAAGCTCTATGACCTCTCGGGCCAGATATAAAAAGTCATAAAGCTTTCACCTGTTCATGGGGTCGCTGTTCTCAGCCTTGAGCTGTCAGGGAAGAAGTTTGACTATCCTGGTACCACCGTGCTGGAGAAACCACAGGTAGACACCCAGCCAAGAGTGCCAGCTGAGCCCAAACTTCCGCCACCCCAGCCAGCGCAGACATCAGACAGGTTAGGGAAAAAACCATCTTGGAAGTGGCTCCTCCCTAGCCATCTGAGTTACCCGAGCCGCTCAAGTCATCTCAGTGGTGGCTCAGATATCATGAGACAGAGAAGAAAGATGCTGTTTCCAAATTCCTGACCCACAGAATCCATGAACATAATAAGATGGTTGTTGTTTTACACCATGAAGCTTTGGGACGGTTTGTTATGCAGCAATTTAAAGCTGCAACAAATGGATGATTTCAATCAACATATTTCAACAGGAAAGATTTATTGAGCATCTACTATGTGCCAGACACCATGCAAGGGATTAGGCACACTATAAAGAACAAGTGTCAAAGATAAATTTGGACACTAGTTAGAGTGGTGAGGATAGATTTTAATCAGGAATATACAATTACAGTAAGAAAGAGGTTCTGGAGTGAACTGATTCACCTTTGATTTGTACAGGGTGCCTTGGCATTTTATGTAGTTGGGGAAGTGAAAAATTACAAAGGGTTGGGCAGTGTAAATGTTGGCGAGGCCAGCCATGTTTGTTAGCTGACAATAATCCAAGTTAGGCTCCTACCCTCCCCCAGAGACTGGGGGACAGAGGGCCTTTCCTTCCTGACGAT